CATGTTCTGTGAATACCTCCAGGGCAGTAAGCTGCCAGCCGATGTTGCAGCTTTTGCGGTATGGCTCAAGTGTGTCGGGCCTTGTCCTAAAGGATCGGGGTTAGTTCTAAGTTGCACTACGGAAACTACATATTGGGATATTGGTGCCACACGCCCTTGCGATTCAGGGGTCTTCTAACTCCAACCCTACTCGTAAGAACAAACTAATAAGTTGCGCCTGAAGAGCCTACAACGAATCCGCTGAACAACCGAATGCAACCCTATGCAAAAGCTTGAAGCCACAGCCCAAAAAACACTCCATCAGATAGCAAAACAGATGGATGGATAGATAGATATGTGAGGGATCCCTGTTTTCTGGAAACCCTCATGTGGCCTCAAACGACCTTAAGTCCAGTCTCTTCTTCAGACTACCATTGGGTCGCCCGGTAGTGCCCTTATAATCCTTTGTTTGGGTTTCTCCTAATTGAAGCTGAATAGCAGCAAAGAAGCGCCCATTGTTAAGGGCCGACTGGGGCACCTTAAACTGCATCGGGCTTCCTTACTATGATGTATGGTATGCTCCTTAATTAAAGGCAGTGTAGCAACCTTTCCAAGCTTGGTAAAGACCCAATGAAATCCCTGAATGAGCTAAGGTATACTTCTTCTTTGGAGCCCTAAATCCTAAACTTCCCCAAACCTGCCATTAAAAGGGCCCCAAAAAAATTAAATCCTACTTGAGGGTCGATCCTTGGACTAGGCGGGTCGCTGGCTGCAAGCGACATGGCTCAGCCCAGCGGAAGACAAGTAGTCTTCTGAGTTAGGGGTCCCTTTTAGCGGCCCTCTTAATAAGGATGCTTTACAGATTTTGGAGGACCTAAAAAGGGACCCTAATATAGAGAGCTACCCAGAGAGCAGGATGTAATGTGCTTGACTCAAGCTGTTGTAGGGTTACCCAGAGAACCCGATACTCCTCAGACAAGGGATATAACCCATGTCAAGAAGCCCTATGCAGATTGAAGGCATGTTTCTTCATAAAGGGCCTTCAAGCCTAGCGGATTCTGTCCTGACCCTACCTCTTTGTGCCACGGTTGATGATACGAATCCTGCATTATCCGTGATAAGGAATATACAATATTTCCCATAGTTTAGGGTAAGTAAGGTAGTGCGGGATTACTATCATCAACACAGACGTTCAGCTCTTCCGTTTGATTGCAGCTCCGGTCCTACGTCCAACAGTCTGTCAGATTCTGTCAACTTTCAGGCAACCCGCAAGCCTTAGGGTTTAGGGTTTAGGGTTTAGGGTCAAAACACCGGCAGAGCAAAGCGATGCGCAAGGAGTTCCCGCCTCGCCATCACCTCCTCTCTAGGGTCTTCATGATCTACAAGGCTCTGGGGGTTCAGGGTTCGGGACTGAAGATTTCAGGGTTTAGCTGCGTCCTTGTTGGTTAAAACTGTACATGTCTGTGTTAAGAAAACCCATTAAAGGATTAAAAATGACCATTTCTAATATAGCCCCAACAGGGGAGCCAGTTAGGGGCTTTGGAGATTTGGGTGCCCAGGGGCTGTACGATTCCTTCATTAAGGGCCATTCTGTTATTCTGTTGGGTCCTCACGGGGCCTCAGAAGCTGCAAGCGGCCTCAGTTAGATGCCTTAAATTACAAAGGCTCCTTATCAAGAGCCACCGAACAATACCCTAAACCCTCAACCCTACTTCATTAAAGGAATGGCCGTTAGTTCCCTATGGTCTTGTAGGGCCACCTGGTCATAGATAACTCATCGGTAATCTGGGGTCCCTCGAACTACAACCGAGTAAGGAATATTGAAGTCCCCACCCAAAATCCTTCACGAACACGCAAGAAAAAGCATTCCACCATTCTATGGGTCAGAGAAGATTGTTTTAGGTGTACCCACTCTTCAGATTCTGTGCAAATCGGAGGGTGGCTTGATATGGGTGGTTGTCAATATGGTCCCTTTTTGGGTCCTTAGTATAAAACGGCACATATTATTTAGGGTACCCCAAAAGGGACCATAATTTTGATAACTACCCAAGTAAACCGGTAAGCCCAACTCATGAAGGCATCCTGTACCTGCAGAAGCCGTATCCGATACCCCCCAACTGGTACAGCTCTCTGGAAACTCTCAACCTAACCGGTTTAGGGTTTAGGGTTTAGGGCCCTAAACCCAAAACCCAAGACCCTAAACCCTAAACCCTCAAGCTTATAATGTATGCAGACTAAGCACAGGGCACGTCAAACCATCCGAAACCCAATTTGGGAAGTAGTCTCCGCGTAGAAACCTGAAAAACCGAATAAACACTAAACATCGAAACATGAGAAAACCCAGTTAAAAGAGAATCCAAACATCCAACCGTTAAAGACCTTATTAGAAACATAATCAAAACATCAAAGCATTAGAAGGGAGTCTACACATTAAGCCATTGGAAGCCCCATTTTGACAAGATCTAACCATCAAACCCTTAAAGACCCCGCTTCAAAAACCTAAAAAAGAAAGCAAAATTACAAAAAAAAAACCATTCAACAACAACATCAGACACTTTTTTAACAAAAAATGTGACCGCATTTAAAAAATAATATCTCAAGAAGCCCGGTCCGAAGTCTGGAGTTTCAGAGGTGATGTCGCCTCAGCCGCCGCCCTGCGCAAAAGGTCCAAAGGTCGAGGATCCAAGGTGTTTTTGGTTTTTTTCGGGTTTGGGGTTTTTGGGCTGTTTTTCTGGTTTGGGGGTTTCTGGTGTGTTTTTCTGGTTTGGGGTTTTAGGGTTCAGGGTTTTTCGGATTTAGAGTGTCGGATTTCGGGTTTCGGGATTAGGGCTTTTCGAGTTTAGGGCTTAGCGGTTGGAATTGAGATAAACCCTCTTTTTGCCCCGAACCCTTGAATTGTGAGTTCTTAGAGGAAGGTTTCTGTGCATAACCTATAAAGATATATATATATATACACATATATATATATATACATACATGTATGTGCGTATACATATGTGTATACACACATATATATATATATGCTCAGTTACAGTTCCACCACTTTTCGTTTCTTTATTATCTAGGTAGTTGTTGACGTTCAATATTTCAGGCTTTAAACTTGGATTGTTGGTCTTCTTGTTTCAACTGTCCAGGCCATTCAGTGCTCGTTGAAGTCCGTCGCACTGGATATCACTTTGGTTTAGGGACTTTAGGGCTTAGGATTTAGGGTTTAGGGCTTAGGCTGGGATGTAGTTAGCTTGTGATTGCACTTGTGCTTATGTCCTTAGATAGCTTAAGTTTCGCTCAGTTACTAGAAGCTCTTGGTTAATTAACTTGCTTTAAATCGTTGTAGGATTCCTAACCAAAGGATATCTAATTGCAGGGCTTGAGGTTTGGAGTTTCGGGCTTTAGAGGGTTCTGTAGAGTTCTTCTACATCAGGGTAATATAGGGGCCTTAATAGTTAGAATAGGGTTTTGGAGGCTCCTTGTTATGATTGTAGTATAATATACCTCAAAAACCCTATTCTAATTGTTAAGGCCCCTATATTAGTGTTGAGGAGGTAGTAGGGTAGCTGCTGCAGGCCCCTATATTAGTGCTGAGGAGGTTGTAGGGTAGCTGCTGCAGGGTGTCTCGTTGAGGGTTAGGCCATTCAATGAGCGAAGTGGCATTGACTTCGGATGCGTGCAGTTTGGCTTAGCGAATTGCGGAGCTTATGGTTGTAGTTAGAGTCTATGCTGGTAGTAACAGAGTAAGCTTATAGTGGCAGTAGCAACAAGGCGGTAAACAAGCATACTAGTACTGCCAGAAGCAGGAATGCTAGGAAGCGAAATGAGAGTACGAACCATTCCCAAAAGAGCGGCTGAATTGCAACAGCAACCCATCTCTAAACTCAGATACTGGCTGTAAGCAACAATAGTACAAACAGATGGAGTAGGAAACCAAAACGACAACGCACAGGCAAATTTCCCCCCCGCGAAACCCAAAGACATCCAAGTTCACACCCCATGGTCTAGAACCCCGGGTACCCTAAACCCCAAACCCTAAACCCCTAAACCCTAAACCCTAAACCCTGAAACTTTTAAAAATCTCAAGGATTTGCTTTGGCGACCTCCTGCTCAGTGTGGACGAACAGGAGGCCGGCTTTGTCGAGAAGCAGGCTTAGGGGGTTGGAGGAGGATGGAAAACTTAGAGGGTCGGGGGGACGTAGTAAGTCGGTAGTAAGTAGACTAGAAGTACCCTAAAAGGGACCCTAATTGGGGTTATGAAACTTATAACTCTATAAAATGACTACTTACTAAGTCCCCGACCCTGCAAAAGTAGGGTCTAGTGTCTAGGGTTGAGGGTGAATACAAGATAATGCACTTGCAGGATCTTGGGACTTAGTAAGGTTATAAGTACCCTAATTGGGGTTATAAGTATAGTTACCTTGTTAATAACCTCAGTTACTAAGTCCCATGATCCTTCAAGCATCAGATGAGCTAGACTGCGACCTAAAGACTCGTTAAAAGCATTGGAGCTGCGCCCAGGGTTTAGGGTTTTGGGTTTAGGGTTTTGGGTTTTGGGTTTTGGGTTTAGGGTTTTGGGTTTAGGGTTTAGGGTTTAGGGTTTAGGGGTATGGCTATACCTTTTGGTTCATGGCTGCCCAAGAACGGTTCTGAATGCTTCAATCGGCATGTAGTTCAAGCCCAGAGCCCAGAGGAGCTCTTGAGATATGCATGTTTGTTCAGTTGCGGTTTGAGGGTCACAAGCACTTCAAACCAAAACCAGAGGCCATCCATTGTCTCATCTTGTCTCAT